TGAGGCTGGAGTGGGATGCGGCCGCCGCAGTACTGATGCGGCCTCGTCCTGGGGCCCGGGGAGGGCTGGGGCGAAGCCTGAGAACACTTTACTGAGCAAAGGCACGGCCATCCCTGAGAGCCTGGCACGGAGAGGACGGACAGGCCCTTCTCTGTGACCCCACAGCTGCAAGGCAACAGCTAGGATGGTGGTGGGGAAAAGGTCTGTGTCCGATTCTCATGTTTTAGGCCACGTTCTCGGTATTCCCTCTGATGTGTTTCTTCCCTTCTGTAAATTTCTTTCTGCCTCTGGCTTATAAACGGACCCAACACACTGGTTGTATTAAAAAATAAAATTTAAAAAAAGGAAGTCATCACCATCCTTATTATTACTCTGGGGGCTCTAGACGGTGATAAGACAATCAAAAGGAAGTTAATTTTAAAAATTCTAAACACTTTGGAATTTAAAAATAACTTAAGATCTAAAACTATTAAAATTAGGAGGTGAAGTCAGCAAGAGCAATAAATGTACATTTAACATATAAAACTCAATTTCAATTTTATAAACCAGCAATGAATGAAAGCAACAGAATTATTTATTTATTTATTTATTTATTTATTTTTTTGGAGAGGTTTTTTCGCTATAGGGCGCGTGCGCTCGCCAGACAGACAGAGAGAGACATAGAGACAGTAAGCGAGAAATCACCCCCCAGGGGGGATGGTCACACCGCAATCCCTTCTCCTCCATTGTCCTCTCGGGATCTTGGGCACGCACGCACACGCGCCTGGCGTGAGTTTTAAGCCACTGGGTCTGGGACACGAACCGCGGTCGACTACGTGGGAGTCCAGCGACATAGCCATTACGCTAACTGCTGGTTCCCCAGAATTATTAAAAGAATGATACCACTTAGAAAAGAAAAATCATATAAACACAAGTAAATCCAGCAAATATGTGTCTATTATCTGCAGAGAAGCAGCCACCCGGCCCCCTTCCCAGGAGCTCCGGAGGCACTGGGGAGAGAGGCTGGCGGCTCCCATCGCAGTATTCGTTACTGCTTCCTCCATCGTGAGAGAAACGCCGAGATGACCTCGCCACGTAACGCGGGGCATGAAGGCTCCAGTTCCAAGGCAGCGTCGGTGCTGCCCACTGAGAACTGAGGGCTTGCGTGTGAGTCCCCGGAAATCTTCGTAACACGCTGGCTCGCTCTTCCCAGCCCCTCCTCCTCTCTGTCCTCGTTCTCTCCTTCCTGCACCCCTCTCTTTGCTGTCTGGACTAGAAGCCGCGTCCAGTATTGCGGCAAGGCTCACGGCGGACATAGTCGTCTGGTCTGGCCTGTGGCCAGCGTTGCAAGATTTTGCTTCAGTAAGGCGACCCACAGGGTGGAGGCTGGAAGGGACCCTCCTGAGAATTATTTATTATTATTACTTTTTCACTTTGCTATGCTGTGTGTGTGTGTGTGTGTGTGCATGTGTGTGTGTGCGTGTGTGTGTGTGTGTGTGCGCGTGTGCGTGTGTGTGTGTGTGTGTGTGTTAGAGAGAGAGAGAGAGCTGCCAGGTCTGGGACTGGAACCATGGCTGGCCATGTAGGAGTCCGGCACCTTGACCACACCGCCTGCTGGCCCAGAGCCCTCCATTCTTCGGGGAGGCCCTCACTCAGGCCAGGTCCTACGTCCGCCCCCGAGACACAGTACTCCTACCTGCCACTTCCCCACTGAGGCGCCAGCGTCCTTGCCGCCAACTAGAACGTGAAAGGTGCAGAATGCCCAAGCCACTCAAAACAAGTCCTCACGTCTCGGGTGAGCACGGGGTGGGGAGACCTCATACTCAGCCCCAGAGGCGGTGACCGGCTCCCACACAGAGGTCACGGTCCCACCCGCGGCCCCTGCATCTCTTGGCCTCCGTGTTCTCGAGCGTGTCCTGCTTCCGTCGCTGGAACCCCCGCTGGCTCCCTCCCGAGTCCTCTTCCTGTGTGCCCAGTCTTCAGTCAGGAGTACCACGAGGGCCACGAGGACCAGGTAGGCCAGGCCGATCCGAAGGAGATTCTGAGACGTGTGATCCCAGAGGCCAGCTTCTGGGGTAGGAGGAGCAGTGATTGACCAGAACACGGGGGCCCTCACCCCCGCCCCCACCCAGACGGTGCTGTTGGCCCAGCTCCTCCCTCGGAGCCTGCAGCCCCGGTGCTCGCTGGCTCCATGCAATCCCTGCAATCCTGTCTCTGTGGTCACACGCTGGCCCTCACCGCCCGCCCCCACCCAGACGGTGCTGTTGGCCCAGCTCCTCCTGCAGCCCCGTGCTTGCTCACTCCCTGCAATCCCTGCAATCCTGTCTCTGTGGTCACACGGGGCCCTCACCCCCGCCCCCACCCAGACGGTGCTGTTGGCCCAGCTTCTCCCTCGGAGCCTGCAGCCCCGTGCTCACTCGCCTTCCTGGAATCCTGTCTCTGCGGTCGGGAGAGAGGGGTCCGGAGAGTCTGCTGAGGAACAGGACAGGGCAGAGGTGAAGAGAGGAGCATGCGGCTGGCCTCTCCCATCCCCACCCCTTTCCCTCGGGTGTGCCCTTGACACTCCACAGCTTGTCAGGGTCCCCAGCCCAGCCCAGGGGCTGGTGGCTCATCTGGAGCGCAGAGCCAGCCTGAGGCAGCATGTGGCGCCAGGACTCAGTGCGTCTTCACCGCAGTCGGACCCTCCGCCTGAGCCTCATGCTCCTCGCTAAATCAACACCTCTTCCTCCCCGAGCACAGCCACGTTCAGGGTTACCGTCTTCT